ATGTATTTGTATATGGAGAACTCAAGAGTCTTTCATCCATTGTGGTCTGTTCAAAACAAGTGTTGCCAATATTTTTATATGACTTTCCTGGTTTTCATATCTTCCCCTCATTTTCTCACAAAACTTTTTTCAAGCTTAACCAGATAAGCTCATCTCTTGGCTCCAATTTATAAGTAAAGGTGATTCATATATCGAAATGTAATTATGAACCCCTCGAGTGAGATGTCAAGCTGGCCCCAGGCAATGCTAACATGATCCCCAAGGTACTATTATTAGTTACAAATTCCTGGGTGTCATCTTCATGTTTGAGAAGAGGCCCTGAAGGACAGAACAGAATGCAAAGACTTGAAAAGAAAAGTTTTAACACCCTACAACAAAAGTATATTCAGAACTGTCTGAAAGTTAGACTTAGATGTTCAAATATGATGTAGAACAGCTTCCTACTTGTTATATGAGGGATATATTCTGAGAACAGTCACCTCTGTACCAAGTGCTTCTGTCTGTCCGTCTGTCTGTATATGTAGAAGTCCTTGGTGTTCTTTGAGCTTGCAGATGCTTGCCAATGCTTGCCGATGTTTAATTACCAAATCAGCTAACATCAATATGAGTGTGGGTTTGCACATTGTTTATATACAATAGCTTGCTTACCATTGTTGGTGGGGGCTGGTTTTCTCCTTGGTAATTCCTTGGTTAGGATATTATTTTCTGCTTGATTGTTTGCTTGGTGTAAATCCCTGCTAATCTGGTTGTTGGCTGTTAAAGAGAATACATTCTGATTTCTTTGTTTCCTTAGCTTATTTATTTATATAAATATGGTTTATTTTTATGGATTGATGGTTGATTTGTTTGAATGCCAGACTTCTTGGAATTCCCTAGCATTTTTGGATTTAACTTGGTCTAAGATGCTCACAGTTTTCCAGTTGAAACTGTGGTTGAATCTATCGATGTATTGTGAGATTAAGGGGTTTTCATCATATCTTCTGTTAGTGTTCATAGAAGTGCTCCATTAGTCTTCTGCTTGTCTGTCATACATATTAGCTGTTGTCATACATATAGTCCTTGACCTATAGATCTTCTCTTCTAGTGACATCTATCTATCTATCTATCTATCTATCTATCTATCTATCTATCTATCTATCTATCTATCTATCTATCTATCTAATCATGGAGAAGCACTTGTTTCAAAACTAATTAATAATTACTCAATTCTTGATTTTTATTTTGGTTTGTTTAGCTTAAAATTTGTTACCTTATTCTGGCAACACAAACACAAGATTATCTTCTTAATCAGTGGATTAACCATCATTCCCCAGCAACCCACAGTCAGGAATGTTAAGATATACAGTAGTTGCAATTTTTATAGTGAAATGGAGGCTGGAAGGATGTTGCTTTCCTCTCCCAATCTTTTTTTCATTTAGCAAGGCAATGTAAATATGCACATGAACAAATGAAGAAACACATGATATCAAGGTCAATAATATCAAGGACAGCTTCATGGAGATTGAACTCTATTTCTGCTCATTTTACACTACATTTCTCCTTCCCCCCAGTATAGCTTGGGAGATGAAAACTGAGGCAGCCATGGAGATGAAGTGCTTAGAATGAGGTCTATGACTTCACCTTGACCTTAGGTGAAGTAAAGATTAGTTAATCCCCAAATCAGCTATTCCTACAACATAAATGATAGAAGTCCAAATTATTTAACCCTATGTAAAGGAAATGTTTAGGATTAAATCTAACTGTCTCGGGGCTAATTGGCTGGGTCAATTAAGTCCTTCTGTAGTCCCACAACATATTAAAGCTATCATGAGAACAGGACCTATCTATGGCACTGCACATTAGAAAAAAGTGAACAACTAGAATCTAAGGAAAATTAGAAAATATTCTGAACAATTCTAAGTTTTTGTTGCTAAAAGCTGTAAGGTATAATGTGGTCTGTTATATTGGAGGCAGGCTCTGGAAATTTTATAAACAGATTCTGAAATAGTTTAATCAGCTCATGTATCAGTTTTAAAGCCTACTACAAGATAATTGATTTGCAAACATACTTCCCATTATTCAGCAAAGTCAATATGCAATACAGCTGGTCCCAAAATACTTATTGGTATCATCATGTTCCACAATATCTTTTTTCTCTCAGTACGAGAGACAGCTGCATTACTAGATTTGTGCCATTCAGCAGTCTTAGCTGCATGTTCTGCACTCTGTGTATGTCTTTCCCTCAGTATGTACGTCTAGAGCTCTTCAGCTGCAATAGGGTTTGATTAGTTATTTGACTAGTTATTTTCTCACTGTTTCTTCTATGTACTAGTTTGGATGGTTGAGAGTTCTAACCTGCAGCCAATTTCAAACTGAACTTGGCTCTTGTTTAATTCTGACAACTTCTAACTCTAAAATATCTACAGTATATCTTTGAGGATAAATCTTCAACCATAATGTCCATAGCTCATCTGTCCTTTATAATTTGATTTGTTCTATTCTAATCCTTCAGCCATTCATTTTATCTTGCATCCAAGTACTATAGGCTTCAACAGATCCAGTCTGGCTCAGGTTTTCTGGGTGCAAAATATTCATATTTTATAGGGAAATAGTTTCTCTTTTCTGCAGTAGCAGTAAGTTGACAAATTTAAAGATGTGTTATACCTGAAGCACTGTGGGATAAGCATAAAACTTGGTAGCCATACTGTAGCAAGAAAATCTCTGCTTCCTATCATTCCTATCATACATCAGGCCTGTTGAAATCAAAAATTCGATAAAGAATTTTTTTGCTGTGCTATACTTCCAAATTATAGGACATAAGCCAACAGATGGAAGTCTACTTAAACAAAGGTGGCAACATAGAAGAGATGTTGGCTTTCTTTTTTATAAAATGTTGGGAAAAATAACTTTTCAGATAAACAATAACTTACTTATTTACAAAACCTAAACATGTAAAACATGGCCTGTGTTTTGTTTTTTTATTTTTTTCCCTAGTAAAACCCTCAGTTTCTGTTCTTTCCAGTTCTTCCTTGCCATAAAAAAACTGTCTCCTCTATTCACTGACTAGGAACATATTTCATTCTGCAAAAGAGCCTCATAAATATTTCCACGCAAATGCATGATGGGAAGATTTGCCAATTCTCCTTCTCACTTCAGCCACTTATAAAGCATTTATTGCCACTCAAGAAATTTGTCTAATGTTGAAGGTTTGTAAATGAAAGGAAGAAAAAGGAAGGAATTGAAAAGCTATAGAAAATAATAATAATAATAATAATAATGATGATGATGATGATGATGATGATGATGATGATGATTTATTTATTTATTTATTTATTTATTATTTTGATTTATATCCCGCCCTTCTCCCGACGGGACTCAGGGCGGCTCACAACCTATTTAAAAACAAAAACATACCCACAATCCCCACCGAATAAAACCAATTAAAAGCCAAATATATTAACGTTGTGATTTCCTGTTTAAAATTTCCTTAAAATAAACCCGATTTTTAAAACCCTCTCTAGGCCAGGCCCGCTTGCTGGAAAAGACATGTCTTGAGGGCGCGGCGGAAAGTAAAGAGATCCGGAATCATCCGGATCTCGGGGGGTAGATCGTTCCAGAGGACGGGGGCACCCACAGAGAAGGCCCTCCCCCTGGGGGTCGCCAGCCTACATTGCTTGGCCGACGGCACCCTGAGGAGGCCCACTCTGTGGGAGCGTACCAGTCTATGGGAGGGAATCTGTGGCAGAAGGCGGTCTCGGAGATAACCAGGTCCTATGCCATGGAGCGCTTTAAAGGTGGTAACTAACACCTTAAAGCGCACCCGGAAGGCCACTGGCAACCAGTGCAGCTCGCGCAGCAGCGGTGTTACATGGGAGCGACGACAGGGAGGGTTGTGGCGGGCGCGCCGGCGTAAGACCTGCAGTTGAAGCCTCCGGGTGCTCCTCAAAGGGAGCCCCATGTAGAGAGCGTTACAGTAGTCCAGGCGGGAGGTAACGAGAGCATGAGTGACTGTGCGCAAGGCGTCCCGGTCCAGAAAAGGTCGCAACTGGTGGATCAGGCGAACCTGATAAAACGCCCCCCCTGGTCACGGCCGACAACTGATCATCCAATGTCAGCCGTGGATCCAGGAGGACTCCCAAGTTGCGCGCCCTCTCTGAGGGGGCCAAAGTTTCGCCCCCATGGTAACTGGCTCGTACTTATGACGGTTGCAGCGTCCCGAGGCCATGGGATCCCCTTTAGTGACCTTCTGACAAGCCAAGTCAATGGGGAAGCTGAATTCACTTCACTTAACAACTGCAGTGATTCACTTAAGAGCCGCAGCAAGAAAGGTCGTAACATGGGGCAAAATTCACTTAACTTGTCTTCCTTAGCAACAGAAATTTGGGGCTGAATCGTACGTCGAGGACTACCCTGTGGTGTGTTTAGCTGAGAAGTGAACCGATTTCTCCTGTCAACAACGCAGCTGTCCGTGCACAAAGGAGACATCAAGTCAAGCCGCGGCTCGTAGAGCAATCGACAGTTGTCTGGCTTCACACAACAGGCTAACCCATAAATCGGTCTCCAACCCAACCTGTGGAATTGCTTTTTTTTCTTTTTCTAAGTTAAACATCCACATTTATTTACAGTTGCCATTCGCACAACTCCATAAAGCAATTTCTCCACAACCTGTAAGCCTTTGTGATGAAGGCCTACAGAAGAACGATACTAAAAGCATTTATGCAATCCTTCATCCATAATCCAGGACAGCCATGGGAACGGGAAAGAGGTGGCACTCGCCGTAGCAGTCTTACTACAAACTCTTCCAACAGTTAGCAAAAAAAAAAAAAGGCACATAATGTGCCCTGAATTCGCTGTATTTTTTTAATGCCATCTCTTCTTCGCTCAGACACGAGAGAGCACGGGGGGGGGGGGGGGGGGTGAGAACAGCCGTTCCTTTTGGCCTGTAATTCTGCCTTCCCTGTTTGAAAGTGGGCCATGTGGATGCTTCCTGTTGGAAGCGTGTGAATCATCTCCAGATGGCCCTACATAATTGCTTCCTCTGACTTCCTCTGTCCCAAGCCATCCAGGTGGGGAGAAGAGGTAACGGAATACTGTCGGATGGGTAGCACAGCGAGGCCCGGATTACTGTATTCGTACCTCTTCCCCAGGACTGCCACCGACGGCTGACAATTATTTAGGGCAGATGGGAGACTCACCTGGGAGATTCAGCAAAAAAATAATAATCTGCAAAAAACAAACGGGGGATTTCGTGTATCTGGAATCTCCCTATCTCTACATAGAGAAAAACCTAGAAAAAGCTGCTTACGATCCGAATTGAAAAAGCTACTTTAACAATCTGAACTGCAAAAGCTACTTACGATCCAGATTTAAACTTCTGATGTCCGTCACCCCCATTTTCAGTGCGGCATTTTGAGTGCTCAGCCCCTGGTCCACGTTAACGTGACTGATTTTTTAACGTTTTGCTGGAAATGGGCTTTTGCTTACGCTATGGGGGCAAAAAAAGCACCCCATCAGGAACAAAGGGTTCGCTTAACGACTGCCGCAAAAGTCATAACGCTGAATCCGGTGGCCTGGGGTATGAGGCTCACAACTTAACAAAATTGTGGGCTCTCAAATCAAGGACTACCTGTAATAGCAGTAGTAATTTTGTTTACTTTTCAAGCACTCAAAATGTCAGGGGAATCGTTAACCTGTCCTGCCCAAACCAACGCCAGGGATAAACAGTAAAATGAATAATGTTCTAGGAACGTTGAAGGGTTTTTTTTAACAGAGAGAAGCGGTTAATTATGAAGTCCTATGCCTAAATATGCCGGGATCTGCAGTGGTACAGTTCCAAAGAAGACTGTGGGTGCTGCTGAATGGGAATTATGTAAGTGGCTCGTGGGCCCCGGAGACGCTCACCATCTGGAATTCTTGCAGCTGCAAATGATGCCCCACCAGCAATCCCAGTACATCCCCCAGGCGGACGGTGGTCTCAAGATCAGGTTCTCCCAGGAGCAGCTCGCACTGCCTGATGGCCTCTTTGGGGTCCTCGGAGTAAAGTCTAGGCAGGGGGGAAAAAACACCATACACTATTGGCACAATGGTTCCTTGGTTGATCTTTTTCTTCTCCGTGGAATCAATCATGGTCATAAATTGAGGATTATCTGGACCATAAAGCTGTGTTTCTCAACCTTGGCAACTTTTAAGATGGGTGGACTGCAATCCCCAGAATTCCCCAGTCAGCACTGCCTGATATCCTGGTGGCTGGCATGGCAGCCACAGCACTGTTGGCTGAGGAATTCTGGGGGTTGAAGTCCATGCAAGATTGAGAAGGCCGCCAAGGTTGAGAAGAACTCCTCAAGGTTCCCTCTCACCTTCGGGCTTGAATAAACCTCTTCACCAGGGCCATCTTGGTCTGTAGGTGTGCCAGCTTGTTCTCTTGCTCCGCTGGGCTCCGCGTCTTTGCCTTGGACATGCACTTGTAGGCCTCGGTCAGGGCTCCCAAGGCCTTCTCGTAGTTCTGGAACTCTTCCACCTCCACCTGGAAAGGAAGGAAAGCTGAGNCTGGGAAGGCCATCGGGGCCACCGGGGCCGCCAAAAGGGCCACCCGAAGGCCACCGAGGCTAGAGTGGTTTGCCCAGGGGCCCATTGTTCCTCAGATTCTTAAAAGCCAGAGGATCACCCACGGGTCGTCGGGGCCATCGGCGAGGCCGTCCGAGGTCTCCAACAAGGCCACCGCCGAAGCCACCGCCACCGCCGCCGGTGATGATGATGATGATGATGATGGAAGGGACATTGGAGGTCATCTAGTCCAACCCCTTGCTCAGGCAGGAAACCCTATACCATTTCAGACAAATGGCTGTCCAGTCTCTTCTTAAAAACTTTCAGTGTTGGAGCATTCACAGTTTCTGAAGGCAGGTTGTTCCACCGATTAATTGTTCTAACTGTCAGGAAATTTCTCTTTAGTTCTAGATTGCTTCTCTCTTTGGTTAGTTTCCATCTATTGCTTCTTGTTTTGTCTTCAGGTGCTTTGGAAAATAGCTTGACTCCTTCTTCTTTGTGGCAACCCCTGAGATATTGGAACACTGTTATCATGTCACCCCTCGTCCTTCTCTTTGTTAAACTAGACATACCCACTTCCAGCAACCGTTCCTTATATGTTTTAGCCTCCAGTCCCCTAATCATCTTTGTTGCTCTTCTCTGTATTCTTTCTAGAGTTTCAACATCTTTTTTACATCATGGTGACCAAAACTGGATGCAGTGTTCCAAGTGTGGCCTTACCAAGGCTTTGTAAAGTGGTATTAACACTTCACGTGATCTTGATTCTATCCCTCTGTTAATGTAGCCTAATGTGTTGGCTTTTTTGGCAGCTGCAGCAGACTGCTGGCTCATATTTAAGTGATTGTCACTAGGACTCCAAGATCCCTCTCATAGTTGCTACTATTGAGCAAGGTACCATCTATAGTATACCTGTGCATTTGGTTTTTCTTGCCTAAATGTAGAACCTTACTTCTTTCACCATTGAATTTCATTTTGTTAGTGAAAAAAGTAAGGTTCAACATTTAGGCAAGAAAAACCAAATGCACAGGTATAGTATAGGTGATACCTTGCTCAATAGTAGTAACTGTATTAACATAAAGCTCTGCTAAATCAAAAGACACATATCCCTTTTTATTAATTTTATCCCATGAAATAGACATTAAAACCATGAAGAAGATATCTAAATTGGATGTGTGAGTAATATTAGAGCCCTTTTACCTCCTAATTTTCACTCGCAGCAATATTTTGTAGGTGTTTTATAGGACCCTATCATGTTTGGAAATAAAATGTAGCTGCACTGTGTTGATAATATTCCAAAGTCATTTGTTTCATCCCTTGCTAGATTATTAAAAGTGAAAAGATCATTCCAAGCAATTTACTTGTTCCCACCTCACAGCCTAGCTGAAAATTGTAATTAAAATGATACATCAGGGGACTGGGTGGATTAAGCAGTGGAAAAATGATACAAGGGCTTTCCTTCTCCCCAATGTTCTCTCTCCTTTGTTTTGCGCTGCATCTATTGTGAATAGATGTAATTAGTTGGTTGTATTGCTCATAAAACTGGAAGATGATTTATTAAAAAGGTCAAGCTCTGCTTCTCATTGCTGTTGTCAGGATGTCCAGTTTTCAAGTACAATTCCATGCAGGCATAAGGTGTACCAGCAACAGCAGTGGCTGCCTGGTTGAAAATCAGTCAGCCCTGTGAGTTTTGTATTGTGCCACATACGAAACAGCATTATTTTGTGAAACAAACAAGACCCAGAACAAAATTTCAAGACTAAATTCTTCTGTTCATGCTTTCAGCTAGTCAGCTGGTGACTCCTTTTTCTGGAATAGCTCATTTCTCCTTTTTTGGCTGGAAACGTGAACAGAAGCCCCCTTTTGGTGATCAAAGGAAAAAATCTGAGGAATTAATTCTACCATCAACATCTTGGTATAAAAAGGGGAACATCAGTCTTTTTGTCCATTGTGGTAAAAACAGAAAGCAGACTCTAAACTGATGGTATTGCTACTGCAACCCACTTGTATTTGTGGGGTCCTTGGTGCTCTCTGAGCTTGGTGGTATTCTTGCAGATGTTTCATTACCAAACTAGGTAACATCATCAGTGATAGCATCAGTGATAACTAATGAAATGAAATGTCTGCAGGAAAACTATCAAGTTCAAAGAGCACCAAGGACCCCACAGTTCAATCTTGAACTACAAATATTCCCTTTTATCAGTATGACTTGTATTTGCATGTTTCTTTAGTTTCTTAGGAATCTATGCTTAGATAACTAATTTGTAATTAATTTATATTACTAATACCTAATGGCTGATGGTCTTAATGATGGTCATTAAAAGTTGAAAAGAACATTCCTGTATTTTTCCAATCATGGTAGTCAATATCCCAAGTCCAAGGAGTTGCACATGATGTCATGGAGCCAAGCTATTCTCCAAAGTATCTAAAGGCAGGACAAGAAGCAACAGATAAGAATTAACCAAAGAGAGAAGCAACCTAGAACTAAGGAGAAATTTCTTGACAGTTAGAACAATTAATCAGTGGAACAACTGGCCTCCAGAAGTTGTGAATGCTCCAACACTGGAAGTTTTTAAGAAGAGACTGGCAGCCATTTGTCTGAAATGGTATAGGGTTTCCTGCCTGAGCAGGGGGTTCAACTAGATGACCTCCAAGGTCCCTTCCAACATCATCATCATCACCACCATCATCATCATTATCGTTGTTGTTGTTATTATTATTATTATTATTATTATTATTATTATTATTATTATTATTATTTTCTATAGCTTTTCAATTCCTTCCCTTTTCTTCCTTTCATTTACAGTGAGCAGGGGGTTGGATTAGATGACCTCCAAAGTCCCTTCAAACAACAACAACAATAACAATAATAATAATAATAAAAACCAACAAAAACAAAGTCAAAAGCAATCCACCAAAAATCTCATACTACACTAAACTGGATAATTTAATCTCAAAATAGAACTAAAAATCAAGATGTTTTTGCAAATAGAAACAAAATAAACCTTCCCTAGACCTGCCTAGCAGCTAAAATCAAGTGTATGCATTAAACGTTGCTAAATATAGAAAATCTCCCATATAAAAAGAAGTTCTACAGTTTGAAAACTATTAAAGTACCACAGAGATAACATTGAAAGCTGTTATAGCTAATTGATGCCTTTAGACCATTACCAAAGGTACCAGGATTCTTCTACTCATCCTAAACAGATTTTATTTATTTATTTAGAAAATTTATATAGCTGCTTACTCACAGCGATTCTAGGCAGTTTACAAACAATAAAAACACTATTATTATTATTATTATTATTATTATTATTATTATTATTATTATTATTATTATTATTATTATTATTATTATTATTATTAGGCTGTTAGCCGCCCTGAGTCCGGTGAGGAGAAGGGCGGGGTACAAATTAAATTATTATTATTATTATTATTATTATTATTATTATTATTATTATTATTATTATTATTATTATTATTATTATTATTATTATTATTATTATTTATTAGGCTTGTGTAACCCAGGAGCTATAGGATCAATCAGGTGCCCCACCCCCATCCCTGAAGTCAAAGAAAAACTTCAACTTCGAATCCTGCCTTATCCATCAACTTTTGAAGAAAGCTCTTCCTGAAGTCAGAAGGAAGAAGTATAGGGCCACCATACAAGTAATAATAATAATAATAATAATAATAATAATAATAATAATAATAATAATAATAATAATAATGATGATGATGATGATGATGATGATGATGATGATGATGATGATGATGATGATGATGATGATGATGATGATGATAAAGTTGGAAGGGACCTCGGAGGTCATCTAGTCCAACCTCCTGCTCAGGCAGGAAACCCTATACCGTTTCGGACAAATGGCTGTCCAGTTTCTTCTTAAAAACTTCCAGTGTTGGCGCATTCGCTGCTTCTGGAGGCAGGTTGTTCCACTGGTTAATTGTTCTAACTGTCAGGAGGTTTCTCCTTAGTTCTAGGTTGCTTCTCTCTTTGGTTAGTTTCCACCCATTGCTTCTTGTCCTGCCTTCAGGTGCTTTGGAGAATAGCCTGACTGCCTCTTCTTTGTGGCAGCCCCTAAGATATTGGAACACTGCTATCATGTCCGCCCTCGTCCTTCTCTTCGTTAAACTAGACATACCCAATTCCAGCAACCATTCCTTATATGTTTTAGCCTCCAGTCCCCTAATCATCTTTGTTGCTCTTCTCTGTACTCTTTCTAGAGTATCAACATCTTTTTTACATCGTGGTGACCAAAACTGGATGCAGTATTCCAAGTGTGGCCTTACCAAGGCATTGTAAAGTGGTATTAATACTTCACGTGATCTTGATTCTATCCATCTGTTAATGCAGCCTAGCACTGTGTTGGCTTTTTTAGCAGCTGCAGTACACTGCTGGTTCATATTGATATACTGTATGTGGAAGGACTATGAACTTCAGAACCAAATCTCTTCCATAATGCCTTTAGCCCAGAGAGAAATTTATATCTAAGCTTGCAATTGATCCTAGAAAAGATAATCAAAAAACAATCTGTGAACAACTAGAAGGAAACAAAGTCATAACTAGAAGCCAGCATGGGTTTGTTAAAAACAGATCATGGCAAACCAATGTCATCTCATTCTTCGATAAAGTGACTAAACTAATAGACCAGCAAAACGCAGTGGACATAGTATACTTAGATTTCAGTAAGGCATTTGACAAGGTAGACCACAACCTACTCCTTGGTAAGTTAGGAAAAGGTGGAATAGACAACATCACCACCAGATGGATCTGTAGCTGGCTAACAAACCGTACTCAACTAGTAGTCCTCAATGGTACTACATCCCATGGAGAGAAATAAGCAGTGAAGTACCACAAGGCTCTGTCTTAGGCCCAGTATTCTTCAATATCTTCATAAATGATTTAGATGAGGGAAATGAAGGGGAACTCATCAAATTTGCAGATGACACCAAACTGACAGAAGTAGCCAACACCCCAAAAGACAAACTCAGGATCCAAAAAGA